TCATAATTCTCCTCAATTTTATTTCCCACCACTCCCGTCCCCTCCACTGTAATATCAAAAATGTCTCTCCTCTCTGTGGGTTGCTCAGAGAGCTTCCCTCTCATCCAGGGATTTGAAGAATCCAGCCCTTGCTCTGTATCATTTACAAAATCAGGAATCAATTCTGGAGAGCCTACCTCTTCCTCCTCCTCCTCATTATTATTCAGTGATGTCACCAGCTTCTGGGTCAGCTCCTTGTTCACCTCCAATTGTTGCTGCATTGCTTTGCGAGCCCCCTTGTCATATTTAGAAATGATAGCATTTGATTTGGCCCACTTGCCACTGTTCTGATGCTTCAGTGACATCCTCTCCTGCATCCTGGCGAGCTCAACCTTATTCAGCTCCTCTATGGCAGCAGCTGGGTTTGTCTTAATCATCTCATCAAACTGCTTCAAGAACTCTTTACGTTTGGCTTTATTGTGCACCTTGTGGTATTTCTTGCTCTTGATCTTTCTCTCTCTACGGGCCTTGGCCTCATAGTAGGACTGCAGTGCGCGGGCCTTCTGTAGCTCTGCGCGGCGGATCTTGGCCTCCTCCAGGCTCATTGCGCTCAGGGAAGCCTCCTCTACAGGGGTCAGGATGGGGTCATTGATGGGCTGCTTGTTGGCAGATAGGAGGGCAAAGATTTCCTGCTCGAGTGGGGTTTGTACCTTCCAGCTGGTCACCACCCTCTCCATAGTTTTGGGGCCAGTGGGCTCCTGATTGAGGGGGAAGACCAACTGCTCAGCCCTTTGGTTCTGTTTAATGACACCTTTCCACTTAGACACCTCTGTGGCTGCCTTCTGAAAGGCAACATCTCTCTGGATCCTCTCACTTTCCTGCTTACTGACAGAACACTCGATGGTCTTTTTACTTTGCTCTAGGTTCTTCAGCTGCTTCTTGGTCTTGGCTGATACTGCGCGGTTTTTTTCCACGGTCCCGATGAGCTCCGACAGGTCCATTTTGTCGCCCTCCCCCTCCGCGGTGACAGTAAAGTCAGACATGTGGACGGATGCCTCGGATCGCTCCGCCAGCTTTTTCTTCCTCTTACCCCCGAGAGCGTTGATAGCTTCCAGCAGCTTCTGGCGTTTTCGCTCATCGTTGTGGCCGTCGTCGTCATCCTCCTCTTCCTCGCTGGTGATGTTTACATCGGCCTCATTCAAACGCTCTAACTCTTCGTCGTAGACCATATGTTTCTTCTTCTCCGACCCCTCACAGCTCTTTTTAACTCTCTTTGAGCTCACCATTGCCTTGGTTTTGGACACTTTAGCCATGCTGCAGTAACCTCACAAGTGGACGGGATTGTAAACACGTGTACTGCCCGTACCGTCAACCAGAGCGTTGTCGGTAAATACTCGCCGTAATGCAAGCAGTACTGTCGTAAAATAGCTTCTTCTTTACGTTTTATGGTGGTGACACAATGGTGTTTTACCGCCACCAACTGGAGACGAGGTGTTATACTGAAACAGATGTTCGGTATCACTCTCGGTCAGTTTATCATCGTTTAATCCACGTTCCACTTTAAAATAATTCGTTTGAACGAAAGAGAAAAGTGATAATAAACACGTTTTCCGTTTTTGTTCTCATAATCAAGAGCGAAATAAATCAAATTCAATAAACGGCCCGATTTGATTTTGTACCTCTTTACATTTCTGTATTGTATAAATGCTTTAAAAGGCATACAAGTGAACTGGAAGTCAAAGTTAATATTTCAAAAATAAAATCTAACAGTAATGTTAGAGTTGTATTTGTACACAATACACGTGTCAATAAATCTACACATATGCAAAATAGATAAAGGATTAATTTGTTGTTTTATTCTTATTAAGACATAAAATACATGGCACAGCATGAATTAGCCTAATTTAATCTGTATATTGGAATAGTCTGTGTCCTCTTTCCCAGATAGTTGTAACTCTTATAATCAGCCTTAGTCATCCAAGCCTGAAATCAAATAAACCAATTCATCTAGTTATCATATATCGTCCGCCTGCCCCTTACTCTGAATTTTTATCTGAATTCTTAAAGTTGTTATAGTAGGTGATTTCAACATTTATGTAGATGTTGCCAATGACAGCCTTAGTTGAGCTTTCAAATCAATAGAAGACTCGATTGGTTTCACTCAACATGTGAATAAACCCACTCACTGTGTAAATCACACTCTTGTTCTTGTTTTGACATATGGCATAGACATTGAAAATGTAATAAAATTTCCCCAAAACCCTCTTCTGTCTGACAATTTTTTAAGTACATCTAAATTTAGAATTATTGACTACACTGATTCTGGACAGAAATTCTATTATAGTCAGTGTTTATCTGAAAAACTGTGAACAAATTTAACAAACTGCTTCCTTCTAGACTCAGCCATGTGTCAGTACAATACAGGAAAGTTATCAAAACTTTACTCCCACACTAGTTGATAACTTTGTTAATAGTACAGCAACTTCATTAAAAACAACCCTTGACGCTGTCGCCCCACTAAAAAAGAAAAAGTTAAATCAGAGGAGATTAGCTCCATGGTATAATTCTCAAATATGTGTTTTAAAACAGATGTCACAGAAGCTAGAGAGGAAGTGGCGTTCCACCAATCAATATGACTTTCAACAAGAAAGCACTGAGAAATGCCAGAACCTCTTATTATTCATTATTAATAGAAGAAAATAAGAACAACCCCAGGTTCCTCTTCAGCACGGTAGCCATGCTGATAGAAAGTCATACCTCTATTGACCCATCTATTCCTCTAACCCTGAGAAGCAATGATTTCATGAACTTTTTCACAAATAAAATTATAACCATCAGGAAAAAAAATCCACCACTTCCTCCCAATGAATAGCACAGATACATTGTCTTGTCCTGAAACCATTCAAGATTCAAGGGTTTATTGTCATATGCACAACAATTACATTTAGCAGTTGCCAATGAAATACTTGAGTCAGGCCCCCTGTAGCCATGCTCAGAAAAATTACACAGGATAAAAATATAAAAAATGAAATAGAATATATACAATAACAATAAATCTAAAGTATTCACATAAAATATATTAAATAAACATCCAAAAAAGTAATGCAAATATTATATTATAAGGTGCAGTGAAGGCACATTATGGCAGATGGGAGGAGTTTAAAAGTCTTATGGCCTGGGTGATGAAACAGTCTCTGAGCCTGGTGGTGTGGGCCCTGATGCTGTGGTACCGTCGGCCAGATGGCAGCAAGGAACAGTTTTTATTTGAACCATTTTTATTTTATCGATATTCCTGAACTTAGTTTCATCATCTAAACCAAAAACTTGTCAGTTAGACTCTGTCCCAACTAGACTTTTTAAGGAAGTTTTCCCCTAATCGACAGTTCCATATTAAATCAGATGAACATGTCTTTGTTAATCGGCTATGTACCACAAGCCTTTAAGGTAGCTGTTATTAAACCTCTGCTTAAAAAGCCTACGCTTGATCCAGAGGTTTCAGCTAATAATAGATCTATATCAAACCTGCCCTTCGTTTACAAAATCCTAGAAAAAGCTGTTGCTAACCAGCTGTGTGATTACTTAGATAGTAACAGTTTCAGTCAGGATTTAGAATCCATCACAGCATAGAGACAGCACTATTAAAAGTTACTAATAACCTTTTCATGGCATCAGATAATGGACTTGTCTCTGTAGTCGTCCTGTGGGGTCATAAGATTCTGTTACAGAGACTGGAACATGTAGGGATTAAACATCTCAGAGAAACACTGTCTGACCAGATAGTCACCTTGGATGGTGTCGGTTTGGCCTCCAGCTCCACTGAGGAACCTTGGAGTAATGTTTGACCAGGACATGTCATTTGACCAACATATAAAACAAGTCTCTGGGACAGCTTTCTACCACCTGCGCAATAGTGTGAAATTTAAAAACATCCTGTCTCAGAAGGATGCTGAGAAACTCGTCCATGTGTTTGTTACTGCTAGACTGGAATACTGTCACTCTTTATTATCAGGATGCCCCAGTTAGTCTGTGAAAAGCCTCCAGTTGGTCCAAAATGCTGCAGCACGAGTACTGACAGGAACTAGATGGAGAGATCATATTACTCCTGTCTTAGCTTCTCTACATTGGCTCCTTGTAAAATTCAGAATAGAATTCAAGATCCTGCTCCTCACATTTAGAGCCCTTAACAATCAAGCACCTTCATATATCAAAGAGCTGATAACACCGTATTATCCAAATAGATCACTTCGTTCCCAAAACACAGGCTCTCTTGTGGTTCCAAGAGTCAGTAAGAGTAGAACAGGAGGTAGAGCATTCAGCTACCAGGCTCCTCTCCTGTGGAACCAGCTCCCACTCTGGGTTCTGGAGGCAGACACCATCTCTGCATTTAAAGTTAAATTAAAACGTTCCTTTTTGATAAAGCCTATAGTTAGTTCTGGATCAGGTGAGTCCTGAACCATCACTTAGTTATGCTGCTATAGGTCTAGACTGCTGTGGGTCCAATAAAACAGATGTTATGTGTTTTTATGTTTACGTGGTGTATACCTGTATACATGAGGATAGAGTACATATTAGACACACCTTTGAATAACCTAGTTCCTTTACACAGCACAAGGAAAAGCAGCTGACAAATAAATGTAATTGTTTTAAATATAGATTTTATACAATATGGAACTACATTTATCATGTAAGTGAAGAAAGTGTAGGGTCGTGGTTTACATCGTATTTCGATTTATTTTAAACGAATATTACAGTAAAAATAACCGCAGAACTCTCAAGATGAGCAAAGACGATGACGTGATCAAATCCGTCGTTCCAATTGCAGAATGACATACTGCGTCCTCCCGTTCCCGGGAGTTTTCTCTGCCGAGTCCAAACTTCCACGTATGCCAATAAATATTGAGAAACTAAAGAATTGGAAGAGCTCTTATTATGGCAGCAGCTGAAATACTTCCGGGTTATCTCACCCAGTTAGGAAGGTTTCTAACAAAATGGACTGTTCGATCGATTCGGGTGCACCCGACGACGTGTACGTCACATGTTGCGATCATGTGACCTGTCACCAGCGACCGTTTAGTTCAACATGGCGACGGCTTCGTCTGTTTTCCTCAGAGTGAGAACTGGGTCAAAGATAGGTGCCCAATATGACCAAGAAGGCAACCTTATCCAGGTAAATACAACTTAATTATCACTGCACCAATGATGTTAGTGTGAAACAGCAGATATGTGTCAACACATAACGTGGACGCTTGTTCGCTAACGTTGGAAAAAGCTGACGCATTGGAGGTAACGTTATTCACGTGTTTAAACGGCTCAACGCTTAGCGTCATGACAGAGTGAAAAGAAACTGTAGAGAAATCAATGTCAAGCAAAGTCTGACATCAGATGAGAACAGACCCCCCTGCTCGCCTCTTTCCTCACATGTCGTTTAGAAGCAAGCTGCATTTGAAAACTTCCCTCACTGCTGCAGCTTCTGTGTTCTACTGACGTAGATGATGATGATGATGTTGTGTCTGGCTCCAGGTGGAAACCAGAGAAGACGAAGAGCAGAGTTTCAAACTTGCGGAGATCCTGGAGCTCTTGCTGGCAGCTGGTTACTTCCGAGCCAGGATAAAAGGACTATCACCTTTTGATAAGGTACACACTGGATCTGTGAAAGTGTGGTGTGATTAATTCATGCCTGTGCAGTTGACACAATATCTAATCAAAAATGTCTATATTAAGGTTGTAAATTTCCAAGAATACAAGTCGGACAATTCACTGTTACTTCAAGAGAAACAAAAATCATCAAATTCCTTGAAAAAACCCCTCAAACCATTAAGTCAGATATTTGGTGCAAAAGGACAACAAAGGGGACAGTGTGGTACAGCAGAACAAAAGCTTTCACATTATTCAAAGTAGTGTTTTTTTCCCTTCTAAAGAAATTCTTAAATCTGATGATAATATGCAGATATGGCCAAGACTGCAGTTTAGTCCTTGTTTGTCTGGGGTGGTTTCTTTTCGGTGTCCTGTCTCCCCATGTTTCATTTCTGGTTGCACGCCTGCCATTGATCAACTCATCAATCCTGCAGTACATGTGATCCACTTCTTCACTGACCCTTCATTAGATCATTGCCTCAGCCTATTTAGTATCACAAACTAGGGTTGGGTGATAGTATCGGCAAATGCAGTAATGGAAGAGCTGTTACAACTTATGATAGGATCTCACCTCACTGCACTTTATGCAAATAAACATGACTGTGTCTGATTAGAGAGAGAGAAAGAGGCCACACTGGATGCGGAATAGCTGCGGAACCACTTGGTCTTCCTTTCTGCGGCCATGTTAACAGTTTGGATCTGACACACTGCTAGGCAGTGGGCTCTTCCGGTGACACTCCTTACAAATCATGTGGCTGGAATAGAGTTACACCCAAAACAAGTTAGGTTGATGCACACAGCATAGTGTGTGAGTGTAGGGGGAGCAGAAACTAACATGCTAATGTTTGGGTTCCTGCAAAGAGGTGGATGACACTGCATCAATGCAGTGACTGAACATTATCATGTTTTTAGCTACGTTCATTGTTTTAGTGATTATCCACTGCTAAATAATTATAACCACTGCTGCTTTAGGAACAGGACAGATGCTCATTAAAGGTCCAGTCGTCCTGTGTCAAAGTCTCTACCGGAGCTTCCCCCTCACTGCCCCTCTGACCTGAACTCACTTTACACTTTAACAATAAACATCACTGATCACAAGATATTAGGGCACGTATAGGACTGATGTTTTAATATTCTCTACAGTTTATGAGACACATGTTTAAACCTGCGACGCAACATGAGATGTAACGTGATGCTCACAGACTTAAGAGTTAAAGTGACCGAAACGATCATTAGTCATGATCTGTAGTAGTTTGTATGCAATGTTATAAGTAATACGTGAGGCCCTATGAAAAACAATTAATACTTGGTCTCACAAACACCAGTATCATCAGTACCATCATACTCTCTCACACAGTCCTACAGTTGTACAACACGCCTACTGGTGCTACTTGGACACGTCTTCAGTGATGAACCCATAGTCATAGGTCATAGGGTGTTTCAGGTTTTTAATCATCAGACACCCTCGCCCGGGCGACCCAGCTGGAAGTAATCAGTCACCGACTTGTATACTGATTGGTTCACTGACATGTCAAGCCTTCCAAATCAAAAGATCCATAAGGAAGCATGTTAGACCAGGGACTGCACTGTGCCTCTTTGGGAATGTTTTAAACTCTCCCGCCATCACAACAATGTCAGAAATGCTGGATCCATAGAGATCTCCTGTAGTACAGCAACACACAGGGGCCTGCAGCTGAATGCGGCGGGTTATTCAGACCTGGTTCGTCAGGTGTAGTGTTTTCAGACCAGGAGCACTTCCTCGTCTGACGACCGGGCCACACTGGCTGCGGTTGTGCCACTGAATGCCTGCGGATCGGCTCGCTTTTCATTTCCGCGTCCATTTAACAGATCAGAGTGGCCACACTGCCTGTTGTTCAGCCGTGGGTCGCAGCAGAATATACAGAGAAAATACATTTTCTATATAGTTTTGACATTTCTTTTAAATAAATGTCACAAACATGAATGATTGCAATGCTGCATGTGTACATTTAAAGGAAAAAGCACTCCAGCGTTTATGTAGAGCAAATATTTTAATTTGTTTTTGCAGGAGCAGGGGATGTATGGCTTCATACTGTATAGTGTGTTATATTAATATTATATATATATATATATTAATATTATATATATAATATTATACTCATACAATACATATAGCAGGGCATTATGCCTGGGGACACACTGGTTGACCCAAGAGACAACATTAGTAGTGTATGTGAGAGAGTATGATGGTACATGTAAGAGAGTATAGTAGTGTGTGTGAGAGTATGATGGTACATCTAAGAGAGTATATAGTGTGTGTGAGAGAGTATGATGGTACATGTAAGAGAGTGTAGTAATAAGTTTGAGAGAGTATGATGGTACATGTACGAGACGAGCGTATAGTAGTGTGTATGAGAGTATGATGATACATGTGAGAGAGTATGATGATACATGTAAGAGAATATGATGGTATATGTACGAGAGTGTAGTAGTATGTGTGAGAGACTAGAATGGTACATGTAAGAGAGTATGATGGTATATGTACGAGCGTATAGTAGTGTGTGAGTATGATGATACATGTGAGAGAGTATGATGGTACATGTACGAGAGTGGAGTAGTGTGTGTGAGAGACTACAATGGTACATGTAAGAGAGTATGATGGTACATGTAAGAGAGTATAGTAGTGTGAGAGAGTATGATGGTACATGTAAGAGAGTATAGTAGTGTGAGAGAGTATGATGGTACATGTAAGAGASTATAGTAGTGTGAGAGAGTATAATAGTGTGTGTGAGACCAAGTATTAATTATCTCTCATTGGGCTTCTAATTAAGTAAATTGCAGTGGCACAGGATGATTGTACGAGCAAGTAAAATCTATTTTGTGCATAAGATAAACATATGTATATAAACATATATTTATATACAGAGATATATTTTATAAATTGTGGTTATTTGTTTTATATCGCGGTATATATTGACATCAACTGATATGAAAAAAAATATTGTGATAAGATTTTCTTCCATATCGCTCAGCCCTCCTCATTAGACAGTCCTACATATTTATCAATGCATTAAACCATCATTCTCATAAACTTGTTTCCTCTGCCTCCCTTGTTCAGGTGGTTGGGGGTATGACCTGGTGCATCACCACATGCAACTTTGACATTGATGTGGATCTTCTTTTCCAAGAAAATTTGACCATTGGCCTAAAAATGTAAGTGGTTTTCTGCTGGCTTACTCTTAAAGGTATTTGACCCAGAATTGATTATTATTATCACTATCTACTCACCACTATGCAGATGGAGGGGTGGGTGGAGCGTCTGAGTCCACAAAACACTTTAGGAGTCTCAGGTGTCCGCAAGCCATACTTACATATTCATACTAAATTTCCGACGAGATGCGTTAAGGGACATGCTAACCTCCACTAGCTTAGCCACTTCTGGTGGACTTTAAGGTTTGAAACATGGTGTAAATCAGGGGTTTTCAAAGTGTGGGAGAGTTAGCCCCCCCCCCCATTTTTTGCTGTTGCATTCATACTTAAAAAATGGTTGTTGAACACATTTTTACACATTTCAAACATCTGTACTTTTTTAACACCTCACGTCACCACAATCGCGCCCCCCCGAAGAACTCTCAGGCCCCTAGGGGAGGCGTGCCCCACACTTTGAAAAGCCCTGGTGTAAATTATGTGGTTTCGTGTTGGGGCTTGTGGACACTTGGATGACACCACACAAGCAGTATGCATGTTATGTTTCTTCTGCTCTAACACTGTTTACCCCTCAGACTCCTAAAGTATTTTGTGGACTCAAATAGGGGTGATGCGACGCAAAGGAAGGTGGCTGCGCACAGTCAAAGCATGGACTCACCTGAAGAGCAAGATGAAGCGAAAAAAATTGCCCACGACAATCTAGCATAGGTCAGCAGTAGGCAGACCACGGTCCAGAACCCGGACCCAGACCTATTATTAGATTTTGACGAGCAGTTTATATTTAAACCTGCACACCTTTTCTCGCATTCATGGTAGTCTTATTTTAACCTGCGCAGCTTTTTCCGTCTTTACGTTAGTAAATCCTGGCAGCACACGGTAGAGTTTACTTCTCTCACCAAACAAGAGAAAGTGGGAACAAATAGAAAAGTTAGAGCTGTTTAGTTGTTCATACAACCCCAAATCAGAAAAGGTCATGATGGTATGTATTACAGTAAAAACAATACAAAAGCATGAAACACTTGTTTCAATTTTGATTCCTGCAACATATTTCAAAAAATGTTGGGACAGTGAAGCATTTTACATTTTGTAATGTTGCCGTTCCTTTTCAATTTTATTTGTATAGCGCCAAATCATAATTTATATTATATCAAGGCACTTTGCATAGAAGGTCAAGACCTTAAAATTTTATTAATATAGAGAAACCCAACAGTTCCCACAATGAGCAGCACTTTGGTGACTGTGGAGGAAAAACTCCCTCATTAACAGGAAGAAACCTCTAGAACCAGAGTCAATGTGGGCGGTCATCTGCCTCAACTGGTTGGGGTGAGCAAAGAAAAAGGGGAGGAGAGGAGAGATGGGGGGAAAAGAGGGGAGAGAAGAGAGAGAGATAGTAGGGAAGAAGGGGGAGACAGAGGCGAGAGAGAACAGAAACACTTGAGAACCATCAGGTATCAGATCTGACTAGTTAAAATGTAAACAGTAACAGTGTAAAGACTATTAATTATTATTGATAACAGGCACAATTAATACAATAATTAATTACTGAAATATTGTAGTTAATAATAATAATGGTAAAAGTTGTGAGGTTCTGGGGTCAGAGATATCTGAAATGAGAGAGAGAGAGATTATGGGAGTACAAAGTGAAATAGTCATTGACATGTATTAAAATAAATAAATTAGTGTGGGGGGGGGGCAGAGAGACAGAGAGAAGTGGAGAAGTGCTCAGTGCATGATGGGAGTTCCCCCAGCAGTCTAGACCTTTAGCAGCATAACTAAGGGATGGTTCACGGAGCCAATGTAGAGAAGCTAAGACAGGAGTAATATGATCTCTCCTTCTAGTTCCTGTCAGCACTCGTGCTGCAGCATTTTGGACCAACTGGAGGCTTTTCACAGACTAACTGGGGCATCCTGATGATAAAGAATTACAGTAATCTAGTCTAGAGGTAACAAATGCGTCGACTAGTTTTTCAGCATCCTTCTGAGACAGGATGTTTCTAATTTTCTTCATATATTTAACACTTAAAAGACGTTTACGGACTCAAGACACCAAGTGACGAAGCGTTTCAGGCGTCATTTTGTCTCATTCTTCCTGCAAACATGTTCTAAGATGTGAAACAGTACGGGGTCCGCATTTCCGAAAACTCTTTACGCTCTAAAATTCCTCCAGATTCCTTGAATCTTTAAATAATGTTTTGCACCATAGAGGATGAAATATCCAAATCCCTTCCTATCTTTCTTTGAGGAACACTGTTTTTAAACATTTTAATAATTTTTCAATAACTGGCGATCCCCAGCCCGTCTTTGCTTCTAAAGGACTTGGCCTTTCCTGGATGCTGCTTTTGTACTTAATCATGATTACAGTCACCTATTGTAAATCACTTCATCTATTAATCATTACTTGCCCTAAATTGCCCCCGTCCCAACTTTTTTTGGAATGTGTTGCAGGAATGGATGTATATTTACAAATAAAATGAAGTTTAGAAGACATAACATAAAATATCTTATGTTCATACTGTCTGCAATGAAATACAAGTCAAATTTATTTGCATTTTCCATACTGTCCCAACTTTTTCTGAGTTGGTGTTGTATTTTTTGAGATT